GCACCACCACCGCCAGCAACAGAAAGCAGGGCGCTACACAACAGGTCAGATTTGTGAAGCTATTGTTCCAGGTCAAATTTGGCCCATGTTTAGCAAAACGGACTCAAGATTCACCAATGCGTACTCAGTCACTGAAAATGGTGGTCATAGTAGTGATGGCAAAACTGTGGAAGGAGAGCTCTCTGTGTTCCCACCACATTTCCGCAGAACCATGCACCACATCAGAGTGATGGGGGGGGGGGGGGCGGTATCTCCAAACAGCGAAGGAGGGAAAATAACATACGAATGATTGGCATATCTAAATGTGCTCTTCTTTTTGACATTGATGAATTGTGAAATTCAACACAAACCCTGCCCAGGACTTCCGAAACAAACTCAGAAAAATCCAAATGTTTGCGCACGTGCGGGCTGCTGGCAAGCCGTCTGCGTGTCAGCGCAGCTCCGCGAAATAAGGTCTCACTGCTGCACCGGATGAATTTCTCCGCAAGTTGCCATGGTGATAGCAAACCCCCCACCCCACCCGCTGCCTGCTGCCCACCCCCGGTGGAATCGCTCCTCTGTGCACCCACCGCCTGCTTTTATTCGACCATAAATAATAAAATGCCGCCAGCTTGGCCTCAGGCATCAATAATGGATGACAGCGCTGTCACCCGTCAGTCTCCGCCCGGGCGTGCCAACTTTTGAACCCCGACGTCAGCGCTAATAGCGGGAGTGCTCGGCGAGTAGCCGTCATGAGAACTGGGTCGCATGCTCGCTGTACTGCGCCAATTTCACCCCGGGAAAAAAAAAAAATCATTTGTCTACTTGAAGCAGCTCATGCCGCTTGTTGCTTGGCAACACACACACACACACACACACACACACACACACACACACACACACAGGTGGAGCGAGTGCAGTTGCAGCATCCTTGCATCACAGTGAGAGACATCTGCATGTAAAGATTGGAGGCACAAGCTTGTGTGTGAGCGTTCTTTTCCTATTCTGGCATGATGAGAGGCAGCAAAAAAAAGCCGATTAAAAATGCATGACAGGCGAGGAAGACTGAAGAGGAGCCGAGCGGCCGTTGGAGTGTTGATGCTGGAGGCTCACAGTCACACGCTCCGCCCGTTTGGTGCTCAGCCCCGTCAGAGCACATCTCGCGCCGCGTTTTGACCGGACGTTTCATTCATTGGGGCTTCTAACAAAATTGACTTGTCACGTCAATTATGCTCATGGAAAGGAACTGAAATGTCATGAGTCTGTTCCCTGGGCGGGCCACCGAGACCCGCCTCTTAAAGGCGCATGCACGCGGCTCTCTATTTTGTGGTGGTTCTGGAATGTCCAGCGGCTGTGATTGGGTTTTTGGGGCTCAGCTGATGTAGACAACCCGTCTTTTCTTTTTCTTGATATTTTGACTCTGGTGTATTGGCACTGATGGAGCGGAAGCATGTCCTCTGATTGGCTGTTGGGAGTCAGCTGATGGAATCAGGATTTTTAATTAATTTATTTATTTATTATCTTCTTTTCTTCCAAGCTCTCGAACATCTTCCGGAGCTACTTTTCAGCCTTTCTTACTTTTCCCTGTTATTTATTTTTAAAAATAAATTAGCATCCATCACCCTCCTCCTCCTCCGCTTCCTCGTTGCCCTCTTGCCTCCCCCTCCCACTCCTCCACATCGAGCCGCGCGATTGGCTGCGTGTTCCTATCTCACCATCTGCGCTCGTAGAGCTCGTTTCTTTCCTCTCCTCCTGGTGTCGGCGGGCACTCCTTTGTGTTTGTCCTCCTGCCGCTCATCCACCGGAGCAATGGAGCCGGCGGCGTGACTTTCTGCGGCAACCAATCACCTGGGGGGGATAAAAAAAAAAAAAAAAGTGGAGTGACCATGTGTGAACTTGGCAGTCAGGGAGGCTTGGATGGTCGCTGGCACTGTTCGGCCGCTCAGGTAGAGATCTGGTGTTTTGAATTCTGCTGAACTTGCGTGGCGAGACACAATATGAAGGCTGACGTTTGATTACCTCGGTAAATTTTCGATTTGGGTTTTAGTGGCATTTGATGAAAAAACAACTGATCAATTCAAGTCTGCGCAAATGTTTTTTTTTTTTTGTTTTGTTTTGTCTTGGCTTGCTTCGATTTCATGACACGAAAGCTTGATATCGTAAAAAATAATTGTTTGCTCATTTTTGGGAAGGGCAGAGAGGGCATGGACGGGTCACCACGCTCGCCCGGACCCACAGAATTAAATTTGCTATCTGCTACGAGGCGGAAAAGGCATGTTGTCATTTCTTAAAATACATATTTTCCAACTAAACGTGCAGACCACCGAACCGATCGTCAACTTTGAAGGCGATGCCATGTGACGTGCTTGCCAATTGGGTGGTGATCACATCCTCAGATGAGGCTTGAGTGGTTCACGTTTTTCACACTCAGTGGGCAGAAATGATTGGAAAAGCAACCAAGGGGAAAAAAAAATTCTTCCGGGCCATAGTGCATTTTTAAAGTTGCTTTTTTTTGTGTTCTCTATAATCTTATGTGAGCGCCAGAGGGCTTATGCAAAATGGAACTACGCACCGGTTTGATTGACTTTGTGTTGATATTTTGGACTATTTTTATTCTTTGGCATTCAATAATCTTCTCGTTTGCGTGAGGTGCTCAGTTACCACCGTAGTGTTTCACTTGTCATTGGATTGTTTGGTTGCAAGTTTTTTTGTTTTTTTTAATACAAATATTTACTGTACTTTGGACTTTATGGCTGAGTTTGCATCAGGTCATGTTTAATTCTATGTTGTAGAAAGGACAATTGCCAAAACAAAAGCCATTAAAAGCTATTAAAATTTACTTTAACCGAGTATTAAATTAGCATTTCTTGACAAATGGTCAATGCATGCCCGAAAGTGAACCTAACCTTAAAAAAATGTTTCTGGAATGATTAAAACGGCAGTATTTGAAATCACTGTAACCCAAATTGTATTTTTAATGCTCCAGTATCCAACGCTACTTTGCTGAACAAATCAAAATAGTGATTGAAAATTTCACTCGATCCAACTGTGACGTGTATATAAAAATTCTTTTAGTGCATTTTACTGAGCACGTGCCTCGAATGTTGGCTTGCTTTTCAAGCAAATAGTAAGACAGACTATTAGCGGGGAGGATGCAAATGCACTCCACAGATTACGTGCGCTCCGGCTTCATTTGTGCTTTGCGCGTGTTTTTCCAAGGCTGTTTTTCAAGACGAATCTCCATGAAAGCCCCTCTATTGTTCAGCCGTGTCACTCACTCCCTTCTTTCGCTTTTATCCCGGCCGACATCTACTGCAATGCATCACAATCCAATTTTAATTTTGCGCTGCACACACGCACGCACACACACACACACACACACACCCACACACACACGTCTCATGCTTGTGACTACACCGGCGTATTTGGTGCTGCATCCCCTCCTCGCTACTTCAAACCATCACGGCCACACCCACCCGCCAACCTTTATTCTTTTTTTTGGGGAGTGGGGGGGAGGCAGCCTGAAGTTGGCGTGCCATGGCAACAGGAGCAGGCAGGGACACGGGTATTGGTGGGGGTGGGGAGGGGGATCGATCTGGGTTAGAGGTGCTGAGTGTTAAAGTGGGGCACGGCCGTTGCTTTTACTGTGGACGCAATGCAAACAAGCCAAAGCCCGGTCGTTTACGATGTTATTACCACGGCCTTTGGTGAGCCAGAGCACGTGTTTGCATATGAAAAATATAACTCTGTTCTTAGGAACTGCGTTAGAAAAAAAATATTCTGGTAAAAATACCTGCACTACAAGCGAAAAATGCGAGGCCACAACACAGCAGTACCCATATTGGTCACCATGTGAACTTGTGGTGACGGGATGTTGTGACCATCCACTGCAGTATCTGTGGCGTTAAATGCGTGTCGCCCTCAATGAGAATGAAACGATGGCACTCAACTGGCTGAAGCGTTCGCCACCGTGCGTGTGAAGTGACGGCGTGAGTCTGGGCCATCGGCGGGTGGCCTGACTGTGCGCTTGTCTTTTCTCTGTTTTGTGACCGATCAAAGGGCACAAAAGTGTGATGAAAAATCTCCCGCGAATATGAAACCGCGATGTAGCGAGACAAAGATGAACAAAGCGACTGCACATTTTTTGGAGTTGCTCTCTCACGGTTCGGAATCACTGGTGTCACGAGCCTTTGTGTTTTGATGATGAGACGAGAGCGATAATAAGCATCCGCCTGCGCCCCCCCAGGGGGAGCCAGTAATTGCTTCCCGCGCAGCCACAACGGGGAACCGCCAAAAAAAAAAAAAAAAAAAAAAAACATTGCCGCTAATGCTGACCTTCTCTTTGCAGTCAGCGGACGACATCCTGGTGGCGTCGGCCGAGTGCCCGAGCGACGACGAAGACATCGACCCGTGCGATCCCAGCTCAGGTGAGCGCCCCCCCCCCCCTACTATCCTCCCAAAAGCCTCCCCCACCCTCCCATCCTCACGTGTGTCTGTTGTTTCACACGCGTCCTTCACTCTCCTCTTTTCTTCTTTTTTTGTCGCCACAATGAATTATTCACAGGCTCCTTTTCCTGGTTTGTGCCTGCAGGCATTACCTAACACCTCGCCCGCCCACGTGCCTCACTTCCTCTCATCCTCCCTCCTCGTTGATGCCTTTCAGCTCCTCCCTTCTTCTTTCTCTTTCCCGTCGTTTTTCAGCCCGAGGGGATTTGCATGCAAATGATTTTGCGTTTTATGCGCTGGCACGCAGCAGTGGCACATTTTGTAGCCGTGCTGTGGTCATGCCAGATCATTTATTACCTCAAATTGGCAGCTCACCTCACCCGTCGAGCAGACGTGGCATCTGTAACGCTGATGTTGGAGTGCCGTACTTCAAATTGAAATCACGTCCACAAAAAGAAAATAAAACAAGGCTTTTTCTAAGACATTGTACACCGTCTTGTGTATGCCACAAAAGCATTTGGATTGTAATACGGTTGTCCGCCTTTCCCACCAGCGCGTCCCCCACTCCCCGAGGTGAAGGTGTTCCCCGGCCCTTCGGAGGTGGTGCGCGAGAGCAGCAGCACCACGGGCATGGTGGTGGGCATCGTGGCGGCGGCGGCCCTCTGCATCCTCATCCTGCTCTACGCCATGTACAAGTACCGCAACCGCGACGAGGGCTCGTACCACGTGGACGAGAGCCGGAATTACATCAGCAACTCGGCCACGCAGCCCAACGGCAGCGCCAAGGACAAGCCGCTTGGCATCACCAAGATCTCCAAGAACAAGAAGAACAAGGACAAGGAATACTATGTCTAACCTTTATCCACATATATAAACACTACATATATATATATCTCCCTAAAAACTAAAGGCTCGATGTACATAAATAGGTATATTCTTCCTGACAAAACACACACACACACACACACACACATGGACGATTACTCAACAGCACACACGTTCAAGCACAAACATGTACACAGACTGCTTTGAAGGGACAAAATGTACAAAACGAGATGAGCCCCAGGACCAGACTCCTTTTACGACCCATTGCAAACCATTCCAGATGCTCCACGGAGATGACAGCATGAAAGCCGCAGTCTGCGCCCAGGAGAGAGTCGTGGGGGTGGGGGGGTATTCATCGCTTCAGAGTGTCAGTCGTCAATTTTTTGGGGACTTTACAATCCATCTGCCCCTCCATTTACCGTCGTGCTTGTCCCCATTAAGGTCGCGGGTGCGCTGGAGCCTCTCTCAGCTGACTTTGAGCAAAAGGGTGATGATTTGTGATTGGCAGTGTTGACCACGTTGCAATTTGCCCCAATTATCAGTGTGTGTGTATAGCCCACAATCTCTTGTAGCCCCATGTTAGCACTGCGGTATATATCAGACTGATTGCCCTGAGTGCAGCGACCCTTCCATTCACATCATCTTCCTTCGAGACAAACATTAAGTCGACGACTGACCTTTTTTTTCCCCCTTTAAGGACATGAAGCACATACCGGAGAAAGTTGGCGCACGCGTGTGTGTGTGGAGCGGGAGTAGCAAAAAAAAAAGGAAAAAAATTTCAAAAGCAACAACATGATCCAAGTCCTTTCAAGTATCTTCCCGACAGCAACAACAACAACAACAAAAGGAACAAGCACATGAGCGATGAGACGGGGAAATCAGGGTGCGGCTTGCAAAAGCCGCCAGATGCTTTGCTTTTGACACAAACTGTGCGGGAGATTTTACCCCTGGGAGACTTCACATGCTACCTACACACTTAACATACTGTACGAGGACTTGCACTTTCTTAAAAAGAAGACAACAATGATGATGAAGGAAGTACTGACTCTCTGGGGGAGTTGTTTGTCATTGCACGTGAAGTTGTGGATTTGTACCGCAGATAGGCGGAGGAGACGCCGCCGCCATCTTAGATTCCCATTGCGGAAGGAACGAAATGTCCTCCACGGAGCCTGTGGAGAAAACTTGGGTTGACGCCATTGGCTCTTGACTCCTTTTTGTCTTTGTTTTCATTGTTGTTTTTTTTGTTTTGTTTTTTTTTGTGCCCCCCCCTGCCCAAAACCCTGAATGCGATGTACTGTGTTACCTTGGCTTACAAATCGAATTCACGCTCAAATCAGCCATATCTCAAATCAACTTTCCCCATTGAAATGAATGGGAATGCCACAATCCATTGCAGCCCACGAAATAAGACCCACAAAAATTTGGAGCGCGTTTTTTTTTGTAATACGAAAAATATTACATAACATACATATTGTCCACTTCTTTTCAGTACTCACTTTTTTATGTTTATAACATTTTAATTTGATCGAATTTTTGCACAAGAAATGGAAAATGTGAGCACAAATCCCAAGAGATACATGTACGTAACCCACATGAACTGATAGTGCCGCCATCTGGTGACGGAGTGTCAAAAGCGCAATCGTACGTCAACGCCAAGCAACAAAACCGCAGCGCGACAACCTTTTAGGCCGCGACACTTGTAAGTCAAGGTACCGCCGCGTATCCACACGCGTAACGGTGCCATAATGCCTGTTTTCCAGTTCTTCCACGCCATGCATGCCTGCAGAACGCAACCCAACGAAACGCAAAGGTGTGAGTGAGATGACCGTCGTGTCCGACCTGCCGTCTTTCTTTTTCTTCCTCCCTACTTCACGTTCTCGCCGTCCCGCCGTGCGGCTTCTCTTCTATCTTCATCGTCGTCTTCTCCACTCCAAGCGTCCGCTGTGGGTTCTCCCATCTATCATGCTATGATTTTTCTACATGTCTACACTTTTTCTACGGTATATTGCGTTGCTTTTTATTGTTACGGTTCTTTGATGAACATAAAAAGTGGAAATTTATTATTGGGAAAAAAAAATAGTTTTGAAGATTAATGAGTAAATAAAATATTACCCAAGTGAGCCGGCCTTCGGTGTGCGTGCGTGCGAGTGTTGACTGAACACTTCTTCCTTTCTTTTGCTTTCTGTCTTTTCATTTTCTTTTCCTTCTGCTTTCTTTCATCTTGGCCTGAAGGCTTTTTGTTGGTCGCCATCTGTGGCAACCTTGACCTCAAGCAGCTGGGACCGTGAGATTTTTATTTTATTTTTTTGTAAAGTTGGCAGGCCGTGCAGTGAATTAATGGACGTTCGGTGGAATTTGATCCAACCTAATTCTCCTCAAGAACATCACAAGGCAAATTACGTTCATACCATAAAAATGCAATTTAACAGCACACAACTATGGTGCAAAAATTGGCTGTATTTTGCTCTGATCAACCAATCAGGACGGAAATCTTTTGGGGGATGTCATTCAAGGACAGCTAGCTGGCCTTGGAATGTTGAATTTGAATTGTGATTGCTTCAAGACACGTCCCGCTGCGAATATAGTTGAAGTTACCTTGGCCGGCACGAGTGATCGTGAAAGCCCTTGTGCAGATGAGATTGGCATGGCAACTCGTTGAGACTGAAATATAATTGGACCAAAAAATAATAATAATAAAGTCAAAATTCATCCATTCCCCCTCTGGAAGGTGTTTACGCTCCAAAAAGTGAAGCACTACGAGCAGATTTATTTGGATATGTTCCAGCCTTGTTTACAAAATGTGGGGAAAATGAAGACTGTCGCGTTAATATTTTCCTCCACACTTTTCCCTTTGCACAGATTCACAAGAATCAGCAACATTTTAATCAAGACGCTCATGTCATCATGCACACACACGCTGCGGCACATCTCCTTTGAAACGATCTCCTCTTTATGCATCCGCGCGTTTGTTCGAGAGCGCCGCTGCATTTTAATTGCGTTACTCGCGGCCGTCTGTGTGTAGGCGCACACAGGGCGTCCTTGGAAGCAAACGGAACATTTTGTCAGACGCAACATGTCCTGCTTTTATTGTCGACTTTATTGCTTCAAGTGAGACACAAACGGTCACAAAACTGTCCTGTTTTTCTCGGTCCTTTCCTCAGTGTTGCCTGAAAGCAAAACAACACGAGCCTGTCGATCAAAGAGCACGGACCTCCCCCAAGGCCAAACAGTTTCTTATTTGAATCTTCGCCCTGTTCAGAGTTTCGTGTTCTACAGCGAGTCGACAAATGTTACTTCCATGCCCACGCGTCATGGCAAACACTTGAAAAGGATGACGAGTTAGCATCAGCCAACTGTCTCGTATGTGTGGTTCAAATTCAAATCATACCCCCCCCCCCAAAGAAAAGTGATTTTATTATTTATTTCTTCTATTTGCTTTGTAAGTTGGTGATGCAGAGGGAGGGACGTGAGGACAACCCACCCACCAACACCAAACCTTGTGTTTCTCATGCCACCTCATTCTCAAGCCGCAGTGTTTGCGGAAAATGTCCTCACTACGTTAGAGTGACGAGGAGAAAGACATTCGGCAACAATTGCCGTGTTGTGACCAGGATGAGACGGATGATGATGATGATTATTTTGACGGTCGTCACGATGGGGGTCCAAATGAAGGATCTTTCTCAACAAGCTGTGGACTTGTGTCGCAACATCCACACGTCAGACTTCGAAATCCCAAGCGGCCTTTCCGCCTCCACGCAATGCCTGTGAGTACACACACACACACACACACGATCCACTTATAAACAGAATTCAAGATTTTTAGTTTGGGGGATTTTTTTGTGGGGGAGCAGCATTGTATGCTATTTTTTTTTTTTTTGTTGTCTTTTGTATAATTTTTTCTAATTAGACTATTTCACACACCACAGCATCACAAAAAGTATCTTTCTAGTCAACATGAAAAATGTTTACAAATTGACTCATTGATTTATTCGGGAAATATACGAACCACAAAATGATGTCATATTTAACGATATATGTGGTCTTAAAAAAAAAATTAAATGACTGTATATAGGACAGCCACAATCGATAAATCCGGACACACATATTTGCACCCCTTTGTTGGTGCAAGTTGCCCAGCTGGCGATGTGTGTGTTCCTTCCAAGGTCAAGGCAGCAGTGCAGGTGTGAGCCAGCGCAAAAAAAAAAAAAAAAAAAGTGAAGGACAAACCTCCCTGATTGCATGCAACACACACACACGCACACACACACGAAATGACATGAAGCAGTGATCCAAGTGTGTGTCAACAGGGAGGTGAAGAGGACCCGAATCCCCGTGATCCGTGGCAGTGCCTTCACTGGCCTTCACAATCTCAGGAGAGTGTGAGTAGGAATGACATCTTCTTTCAATCAATTATGACAATTTTGATGGAGATAATACCCCCCCCCCCCCAAAAAAAAAAAAACGAAGTAAAAAAAGCTTTGGGAGACTTTAGGAGGGCACAAAACGTGTATTGAATTGACAATGTCAATTTAGAAGGAAGGCAACCAAAAATGATGCAATTTACTTTTCCAGATGGGGGCACACACGAAATGCTTTCAATCAGTCATGAGAATTTTGCAGGGAATCATACAGAAATCTGCACTCATTTGCCAGCGAGCATGTGCAGAAAATGCTTTTCACCAGTCATGGGAATTCAGCAAGAAATCAAATTGCCGCTAAACACTCCAAAAACATTTAATCAATCATACTAATTCAGGAGGAAATCTGACCAAAATTTACTAGCTAAGGTGTTGTTGGCTTTATGGAATTAATGACACATTTTTAAACAATGTCTTTTTCGGGGGGTGTCAAAAATCCGACTCAATGTCCAGCATTTGTGCTCAACCGCAGGCACATTGTTGACAACGACGTCCTGAAGACTGTGGCCGACTTTGCTTTCTCCCGCCTTCCACGGCTGGCCAACATGTAAGCGACACGTGAGCCATTGTTCTGTATTTGACTTTGATCCGCAGTGTTTCGTCTTTGTTGCGGAACGGGGGGTACACTGAAAGGCGGCAGGCCGGTCGCTGAGCTCCAGTCTAAACAGGATAAAGACAATGAAGTCCCGTGAGACTTGTGTGTGCTGTGTAGACCACCGCGAATATTTTGGATCTAATCGCAACCTCTGCCAAGGCCAAGTGTGTCCGGCTGACTCGTTTTATACTTGTGCTTGGTGATGCTATTCCACACCTGTCCTGTAGATGGCAGACGTGTGTCTGCTTTTTGTCCCCCAAAATTTAAGCTAATAGTTACAGCCCCCCCCCCACCACCACCACCACCACCCTCCCCGTTTCTCGCAGCTTCATCTCGCAAAACGCGGCGTTGGAGTCAATCGGAGCCTTCGCGTTCTCGGATCTCCCCGAACTCATCGAGCTGTGAGTTCTGCTGCCAATGTTGCCGTGAAAAAAATATATATTTTTTAATCAATTTAATAAAAAACATGGGTGTAACTGTTTGAAGTAAATGAATCTCATTGTGCTATTCTGCATCTTCCAGGACCATCACCAAGTCCAAACATCTGACATACATCCACCCAGATGCCTTCAAGGACCTCGTCAAGCTGCGACGTCTGTGAGTTGCCATTCATTCCCAGCTCAAAACAAGACGCACACACACACACACACACACACACACACACACACACACACACACACACAAAGTACCCAGAAGTACTCTCACTGAATAACGCAACCTGGGTTTTATTTTCACCAATACTTTATGAGGACTACAACTGTAGCTACTTTTTGAGCTGTTTGGGAAAAAAAACGCCTATTTTGAGTAAGTAATTCGGAG